TCTTCTTTCTTCTCCTGGTTGAGCTCTGATCATCCAGTCATCCGGTCCAGGTCACATGGGTACCATCTGCAAGTGTGGGCCTTCTTGTGCACATGCCCTCTCTTCCCATCAGCCTGTAGCTCCACTCTCTACTCGAGTCCTCTTTGGCCACGCCACTGACTCTGGGCCCAAGAGTCCCCAGGTCTCCTCACACTGCTTGCCAACCAGTTCCCCAAATGGGTCCAAAGAAGCCCACTGAACATTGTAAGGCTTAGCTTGCTGCTTCATTGCTGCTTTTACGCCACTTCCCACTATTGGTGATGCGTGTGGTCACCAATCAGAGCGTGTATTTCCGTTGAGTCTTAGTCTTGGAAGGGGGTTTGCATTGAGAGGACTCAACCACTTGCCTTGATGTTTCCTAGGGAAGCAATTTGTTTATTCTTGTAGTAACAGTCCATCTGCTTCTATTGTTTTGTATTTTTCCTGCAGGTCTTTCTTTCAAGAAGTATCTTTTGTTCTTCTAGCCGCTCCAGGCTGGTCTGCTCGTCCTTTCAAGTGGAGATTTCTCATCTCTGGAGATCTGGATGTGGTTCTGGTTTCTACCTATAGTTTTATGTATTGCAAAGGCTCCGCAGGAAGCCTAAGTTCACTGGGTATGCTGTAGCCCCATTTTAGGTATTCCAATCAGTTATAGGCAGAAGACGGACTTACAAGCCTTCTAGTGTGATGTTTCTTATTATTTCTCTCTCTTCCCCTCCAGTGTCTACTCTATATTATAATGCAAAGAAAACCAAGTTTCAAAAAACAGTCAAGCATCTTAACATGATTCCCCCCACCATTCCAACTATGACTCAATCCCTGCATCTCAGAGCCCTGCAGTTCCAAGGCTGTGCATATATCGCCCTTTATCTCTGTCCCATTTGGCCCATTCAAACATGCCCTATTTTTCTCCCATCTGCCCCTTTTCTCCACTTCCCTCTCCCTCCCTGTATATTGCCCCCCTCCCCAGCACCCAAGCTCTCCTGTGTCCAATCCCCGCCCTGCACTCCATCCTCCTCCCTTCCCCCCACCCATCACCAACTTCCCAGCAACCAACAAAGGCTTCCCCCTACCCCCCTTTAGTATAATTTCTTTTTCTTAGTCTTTTACAGTAGTGGTCCTATGCAATATTTCTCTTTTTGTGACTGACTAATTTCACTCAGCATAATGTCCTCAAGGTTCATCCATGTTATGC